GCTCTTAACAGCCAACTCCATCATATATTAAACATCTTATTGTTCCATACTTTCCTAACAGAGCACTTGACTGTCAGACTGCAGGTTTACTTGTGGTTCCTGGAGTTTCTAAAAGTAGAATGGGAGGCAGAGCTTTCAGTTATCAAGCTCCTCTCTTGTGGAACCAACTTCCAGTTTCTGTCTGTGAGGTTGACACTCTGTCTACTTTTAAGATTAGACTGGACTTTCCTTTTTGATAAATCCTCTAGTTAGACTTAGGTTTCCTGAATTATTCCTAATTTCTGCTGCTATAGACTTGGACTGCTGGAGCACAAACTGACCAAATTTCCTCACTCTGCTGTTGACATGTTTTTTTCTTTTTGTCTCTCTTCCAGAAGAAGGTGCACCTGGACCAGTTCTTCTGTGTCTACCTGTGTCTCTTTCCTGTCCCCCAACCCAGCTGGTCGAGGCAGATGGTCTCCTGTACTGAGCCTGGTTCTGCTGGAGGTTTCTTCCTGATTAGCAGAGAGTTTTTCTTCTCCACCGTTTGGTCAGGATGGGATACTGTGATGAAGTGATTTAACACAATCTGCTGGCTTCTTCTKTAGATTGTTCTTTTTATGTACAGTGCCCTGAGACAACATATGTTGTGACTTGGTGCTATGTAAATAAACTGAACTGAATTGAATTGTAACATAAAAAGACATGATTTAATTCCTGATGAAGTCTAGTTTAGGCCATAGCTGGAGTTGCTGATAAAGACACTTTCTTAGTGTGAAATCTTCAGCAGTAACAGCTAAAATGTAACCCAACCTGGTAACTGATGGTAGAGGCTGGCCACAGCCTGGTGCTGGGCCTGATGGCAGGTGGTGGGACCTGGACTAGACCAGGTGACTGAGCTGTTCTGGGCCTAGAAGCTGCCTATCAGCTAGTAGAGCCTGRTCTTGGCCTAAACGCTGGTGGTGGATCACTCTGGAACTCTTTAGCTCATACATTCTTCACATTAAAAACACCTTTTGAAGTTTATATGTGTTGTAGAAAGTTGGGCTTTACATGACAGTACTTACATTTAGATATTTTTAAAGATTTTTTACACAGTCAGAGTTAGTGATTGTTGGAGATTTTATGACATAATGATCAACTAAAAGTGTTTTTCATGATAAAATTATTTTAGTTTAAAACTCCAGCATCATAGGCAGTGGTTGGTAAACATTATTTCAGTGAAGACTATCAAATTTAATTCAGTTTCTATTTTTTATTTTATTTTGGATTGCCTACATGCGCATTACTTTTTCATGATGTTTCAAATAAAGTGATTGTGCTTCACCTGCCTGAACCTCGAGTCTTCATTTTGAGTCTTTCCAAGTCTTACCACACATTTTAGTTGACAAAGTGACAGATGCATTATGGGAGAAGACTGTGGCAGATGTTAGTTGTAACAGATCGTGGAGGAAAAATAGCACTCTTTGGAAAAGTGAGACATCACTCAGTCTCTGCACTTCTGTGCAACCAAAAGCAGATTTTACAAAAAAAGATATGCCCCCAACCCCACCCCACCACCACCGACACACACACACACACACACACACAC